CAGTAACCCTTTCACACCGGATCCTCTACTAAGCTTCGATCCACGATCGTTATCTGTATTCAGGTAGCTCGTTTATTTCGTTTAATTTAACGTCGACGAGTGGACGCCATCGGTGCTCCAAGGATCAGAGGCGATCTGATCAACCGAATCGCGGCAACGAGATCGTCCCGTGTTCTCCTGATAACGACCACGAGAACCAACAGACACACCGCGTTTCCTAAAGGCGCATACGTAATGGGCCTGTCCCCTCGTCGACAAATTTCCGAAGGATGTTAGCCTCGACGAAGACAGGTGAATGTTTCACATTCCTAGCGTGATCTTCGGTCTTTTTAGCGTTCGAGGCTTTTAATTCTCGTGGCGATCACAAATACACACGAGGACCAGAGTCCATAAAATCTGAAAAAGGAATAAATCGTTAGTTGCCCTTCTGGAGGAACACGAATTGTTAACAATGAAAAGAAACACAAAACTTGAAGTCCTTTTTTTTTTGGAAGATACCACACTTCTAAACGATGTAGCCGCGTAAATTTCTCAGAGTTGGATTTATTGTATCGTAAAAATTCGGTTTCGGTATCGGGAAACAAGCGAAAGAGAGGCTACGACAGAGGGACGCTCGTAAAAGATACGTCTCCGCGAATTTATGACGTGTTCGTTATCTGTAGCTGCGCCAGTTCATCCTGAACGAACAAATTGGAGACATCGGTGACGATTACGATTTCACCTCAGATTGATCCGCATGACCAAGCTGTTCCTTCCCCCGATGCAATCGTCCAGACGTGTACTTGTTACTGCTACGTGTATGCAAATTACACCGTGACAACCTGCAGGCTCGATGACGTCGCAGAAAACAGTATATAAGTACAAGTCTATTGTACAATGAAATAGACTAGCGAAAAAGAGTTTCAAACTACTAACACTTTTCAGTATTCTTTTACGTTTCTTTGTTTCAGCATGAATCATGCAGAGTGATTAATTTATTACTGACAAATTCATTTATTTTAGTTTCTTTAGTAGGCAATTTTTTAAAAGTTACACTTCTTCAGAAACTTCTATCGATAATGTATATCCGCCATTTTAAATGTTAATTTTAGGTAGCCAATTTTTCAAGAGTTACGCTTCTTCAGAAATTTCAGTCGATGGCGTATATCCGCCATTTTGAATGTTAATCTTATCTTTTGACGATTTTGAGGTTAGGTTTAATTTAACGCGATTCGTATGTAACTATGGTGTGGTATCACATGTATCGAGAATTTTCGAGACACCCGATATACATAATCGTATTTCCACGGGGAATAATAACGAAAGATTTTCGAGCTTGTCACGATAGCAGTGAAAGTCGGCGTGGGCCCTATCATAGTGAGGTTCCGGTAAAAATACCAATCGGGGCCCCATTGTGATAAGGAGCGACATCGAAATTTAATTAAACGCTCGGATTGACTGATTTACCCTTTTAAAAGAAGTTTGTAAACCCTACACCGTTACCTTTCTCTCTCTCTAATCTGTTTACGGTAAATCGAACAAGCTGCTTCCTAGAAAGGAAACATTCTAAGGAAAGAAATTCATCATATTCATCCAGCCTTAAAGAAGAAAAAAATACGTGAACGCGATAAAACACGTCTATATAAGATACAATCTTCGCCTTAGAAATTTTTTTACTATTTCAAAACTATTTTTCGTTGCATATTTCCAAGCGTTAGTCGTATCAGCGATAAATTATAAAAAGGGGAAAAAACTTCATTTCACCGGAGCTGTCGTAATTAAAACGCCTTTATGAGCGGTCGAAAGTTCTCTCTCTCTCTCTCATTAGTAAGATAAACGAAGAAGATTAACGAGCGCGTGGAAAAATATCCTCTCCGACTAAAGAAAAATATTCGTTGACAATTGCGGTCTAATTGGAACACGTCCTATTAGCACGCTTTTCACCGAGTTTCCATTAATTTCCACGCCGCGTACACACTACGCCGCGTGATTTACATTCCGTGCTGCATTATCGGTGGAGCATCAGAAAGGGGCATTTCTTTTTCACGCGTATTTCGGGGACCAAGCGACGACCATTGGTCACCATAAAATAATATTGTCCGACCAAATGCCTGGCTACGCCTCGGACAAACTATTTTAAGTCGAGCCCGTGCAGCAGCTTCTTTGTTTATTTATGAGCGCACTGCTTTCGTGACCTCGACGGAGATGTTATTACAACGACCTTCTCGCGCGGCTAGGGGAAACGATTAGGAAAACGACGGAAGGTGCGCGCGATGATACCGGTTCTGTCACCGTCGCTTCTTTGCTCTTTCGTCGTTTCTCAATGGTTTTATTCACGTCTACGTGAAAGACGGGAAAATTTGACGGTGAACGAATCATCGTACAACTTTGTATTGTTTAAAGAACGTCGAAAATGTCTAGTTTAATATTATCTCTTTGTTGTTCGCAAATACATCGATTTTTTATTACCCTGGACGATACGGTTTAAACAAGCGGATTTTCATTGGAAATTTTTAAGGTTATTTTTTACCTCTCGACTGAAATAGAACGAATAAATTCACAACCTTCTTGGGATCACCGTAATCACAATTCCTTCTCACACAATAATTCAAGCGAAAAGAATAATGTCTTTTGCTCGGTTAATATGCAACGCACGATGTAACGATAAATCTGCACCCTTGATCGACCAACGTGTGGAAACTGAACACTGAAAATATTCTCTTTGTCTCTAGCTCTATCTCGTGGCGTTGCGTCATACTAAGAATCAAATGTGTTCGGTTAACCGTTCGAGGGAAAATAAATCGAAACTATTACACGCTCTCGTATGAAAGAATTGAAAAAGTGTACAGAAGCACAGTTAGTCGTATTATCGATCCAGAGAGCACGTTGTGCGTTCCACCAGAAAGGAATTGTCGAGACGAGACGACAAACGAAGCTTTCACCCCACGAACAAATCGTAATTGCGATTCGCAGCACGCGCGACTCGTATTTCGACCACCGTGTCGTCTGTTTCCTTAGTAAACACGGCCACGATATTGCGTGTGGTCGTAAACACGTTTTTGCGCGCGAAACCACCGTTCCGTCTCAGAGGACCCTCTAGAAATTCGAAGAAGAGTGTCACGCGTAACCTACGCGATTCTTTTCAATTTTATTCGCGTACGCGACGTATTGTTGCCAGTCTTTAAGTGGATTATTGTATCACGTCGAAAAGAATAATGGTTCACGTTCGTTTCGGATATTGTCATTGTAATTTATCTCGTGATCGAATGAAAGAACGAGAGGAATTCGTGCGTACGTTTTGTGTAGCGAAGTGATGCAAGATCGAGTCGAGAACTTCTGGTACTCGAAAAAATGATTAATCATCTTGTGTGACGAGTCACATGTGTGTTACAAAAAAGAAAAAAGAAAAGAGAGGCGTGAAGTCATGGAACTTTGTTATGAAACGACGTGCAAAACACGGTACTTCTCGCTGAATGTTTTTCTGAATCTTCGAGTGGTTATGAGAATGGTTGAATGTGGGTCAGATAGTTGTTAAATTTCTATACAAATTAAAATTAGAAGATTAAAAAATAACACGTGAAACTAGAAATATACACGAAGCCAGCGTAACGTGTATTAGAAATATGATTATTCTACCCTTGGGAAACCCTACTGCCATCTGTCAAACAACATTGACAAGTACTAAAGACGAACGATCATAAGCCGATCGACGTTCCATTAGCAGGAAATTTTCGAGTTTACGTTGACCGATGTTAGAACAAACATGGTCGGCGAGAATCAAAGGATAGGCCGCCGAAAAGATTGGCCACGGTAGGTTCGTCGGGCGGACGAAATCTGCAAGCTCATGCCCTTGAAAATCCTTTCTTGCCGCGTAACTCAAGTGGGCCTCGGTATTGCCGGCCCGTCTCAACGACTCGTGCGCCCGCACGCTCACGCAACTCGTACGCCGCTCTTCTGTTGTTGTAACACATTTCGTCCGCGGCAAACAACACTCCGCGGTTTACCTGGTAATTGCTGGAAACACCGGCCGAGTGTTTACAGTGTCATCAAGGTGCGGTGGTCACACCTTTTGCCGCATACGACCACTTGGGAAGCTCGTTTTCTTCACCTGAAACACGACCACGGTCGAACACCTTCCTGATGCGTCGGTAAACTATTTGAAAGCTCGCAAGTACGGTGTTTGCTACGTCAAAGAAGGATAGATCTTGCCGTAAATTCAATAAACCTCGAGGACTTCTTTTTCGTTTCACTAGGTTAACGATATTTCCTTAGTTGTAACGTTACCCGTGACTTTTCTGTTATACGTTAAAATACAATTTGATACTCGTGAATGTTGGTGAAGATAATACTAAGGACTCTATATTGGTATCTTCTTATGTTTCTTAGAAAAAAATTACGAAAACCAAAGCACATTCTTTGATTTCGATTTATCTTATGGAAGTTGAAGTTAATGTTGATTACAGTTATATATGTTATATTAGAATGTGTATTACTGTCGTCGAGTGATTTTTATCGTTCTTCCTTTTCTTTCTGAAATTTATGTCCAATAATCACTGACAAGCTAAGAAAATCTTGTCAGTAATAATAAATAGTTTAGTGGCGCTATCTAGCAGAAACTAATGAAAGGTATAACTCGTAACGATGAAAGACGGTAATTTATGCTAACATTTTAAACATTAACATTTGCAATCGCGTATCAAATTTAATGTTTCATATTAAATAAATCCATTAGTAAATTTAACA